GCGGAGAGGCCCTCGAGAGCTTCGACATTCCGCCCGTCTCTCCGCCATAATATGAATGTCTCCTCAGCCTTGCCTCAGCCTTGAGGTGCCAAGTTGGCAGGTATGCAAGACATAGCTCGACACAGGATAGTGTATCTCAGCCTTGATCGATACTTATTGAGGGCTGCTCAACGAGAAATTCGAATCCCTTCTCCATTCCCGGCGCCAACATGCAGCTCCTCCAGCTCCTCATCTCGTTTGGCTCACTCGCATGCCCCGTCGTCATAGCACTACGGATTGAAGTACCCATCCACGAGCTGAAGAGGCAGGACTGCCTGAACCCCTGTGGCTTCGGCGACTGGTTCTGTTGCCCGCCAGGCATGTTTTGTGTCACTGATGTGGCTAATCAAGCTGATTGCGTTCACCCCTCGGACCTACCTACACCACCGCGACCAGCTACTACTGCACTCCTACCTACACCACCGCTACCAGCTACTGCTGTACCTGATACGTCTAGCACTAAAACTAGCGTGCCATCCAACACCAGCACAGGATCCAGAAGCTCGACGTTTAGCCCCCCGACTTCGAATCGTGCATCACAGTCAACGTCTCGTCGTCCTTCCGGTGACCAAAGTCCCGATCACTCCAGTGCCACTGAAACGAAACCATCAACCTCAACGCATTCTGTCTTTTCTCCTCAGAATGGCTTGAGCTCTGGCGTTATAGCCGGGGCAGCGCTTGGTGCTATACTCGGGGTCGGTCTCATCTTACTGGGGATATTCCTGCTTTACAAACGAAGAGCAAGAGCTCTGAACGTGGAGCAGATTATGAGATGTGGTGCGGATCTTCCGGTGGCCTGTAGTATGGATCAAGAAGTGCGTGGCGCGCCTGAACTTGCCGTTGTGGACAAGACTCTGCGAGTAGATAGTCGGGGTTTTGGTGGATCGACACTTCCGATTGCTGAGTGGGATGGCAGGAAAGCAGGGTGATAGAAGTTGCGTACGCTTATATGCCAGCGCGCGCTTAGCTAGGAGTATGTTACGCTTTTCCAGAAGGTCTGTATGACTGAAGCTCGTTCCCATGTGGGAAGAAATGTCGATAGGTGTGGCATCGCTACCATACAACCGTTCATCGCACACATCGCGACTACAGTACTATCTATTTTAACCCTTTAAGCGCCCTTTAACGCCCTCGCACATATAATATACCTTTAGTTTCTTATTACTTTTCTATTGTACTCTCTAGGTGTAGCAATACTGCCTCCCTGATATAGAATCATCCTCGCGCGGATCAAAGCCTCTGAGATTGAGCGATCGGACGAGTTGTGGCTAATAACAAGATGAAGATACTGAGAATCGACCAGGACTTGCTTTGGCGCAGACAAGCGGCGTTACGGGTACAGCCTAGTAAGTAAGCTCCCGATAGCACCTCATGGTAAATGATTTACAATCGATCGTGATTGCCGAGTGCATGCTTGCCCCTTCCCGATGCTTGCTCAGATCCCCACTAATAGCCGGCCACTACGAGTGCCATCTCAATGCAGCAGCAACTGTAGCCTCCAATACATATGCATTCCCTTCGCGTGCAAGTACCACGACGGAACGATCCTGCTCAAAACATCATGTAAGCAGCTTCGCACGAAACGTCCGTCATTCTTACCTCGTAGGGCGCAGGCGGCTGCAGAATAAGCCCGCCACCAGGCCGCCGATACCCGAGGCGCAAAACCCAGTCATACCCGGGCTTCCGCCCACCACCAATTCCTGCGCCATCCGTTGTATCACCCTATCATCTATAACTTTTATCCCATTACCATGGACGACTCCGCTACTGGCACAGGCCAGCAAGATGCCAATTCGGCCTCTGCAAGCAAAAAGCGGACCCACCCCGAGGATTTCAAGCGCGCATACAAGGCTTGCATCAATTGCCGGCAACGCAAGGCTAAGTGCATCTTGGGAACCGGGCCAGACGGTGGTGAACTGAAGCCACCATGTCAGCGATGCAAGCGGGAGATGCGCGAGTGTGTGTTTCGCTCCGAGAGAAGCTGGGTTAAGAGACGTAAACCGGGGGAAGCGGCGCGTGAGGGCGAGGAAGACGATGAGGCTGTTTATGATCGCCCTCAGTCAAATCCTGCGCCAAACGTGCAGCCCTCGCCAGCTCATAGGTCGTCCATATCGACGCATGGTTTCACGCCGGGGACTAGTCCGCATGTCAACGGCACGAATCGCGCTGAGTTTCAGTCACCTCATGGGCATCTTCGCAGGATCTCGTCTTCGCAGCCGGATCTTGCGCATTCGGTGATGCGGACGGTGGTGTCGAGTGGGAGCGATGCGTTGAATCTGCTTTTTGAAGCTGCGCACCATCGCGATGCTATCGATAGCCAGGAACAGTCTGGGTCGCAAGCATATGAGACTCCTAGGTCGGGGCCATCGGGCTATGAGGGTGTTCCGTCGTCGCCATTCCATACCTTCAGAGCGCAGCCGGTGCAGATGTCCACCCCGTCACCAGAGACGCTCAAGACGTGGACGTCGTGTCGGTTCGTGCAGATGGGCTGGTTCTCCGCACATGAGGCGGTTACCTACGTGGATCTGTTCTTCAAGAACTGCTCACCGTTGTCGCCGATACTGGGAGAGTTTTACTCTCATCATGAGAATCATTATACGCTGATTGCGCTGGATCCATTCTTGTGCACTACTATACTTATGATCTCGTCTAGGTATAACATTCTTCCTGGTGTAGGCGGCGCATCCAGAGGTTACTTTGTGCATGACAGGCTTTGGGAGCAGTGCCAGCGCTTCATCATGAAGATCATGCTTGGGCAGGTCAAGCCATCGAAAGCACAGAGTCGGACCATTGGATCTATAGAGGCGCTTCTCTTGCTATCGGAGTGGCATCCTCGCGCGCTGCATTTCCCCACAGCTGCTGATGGCTGGGATTGCGAGCTCATGATCGGCGCGAACAACACCACCGAAGAAGGCGCGAAGCTGTTGGAAGGAGATGTAACATCCAACCGATGGCTTGAAGATGTCATTGAGCCTGCAAAGCGCTCCGACCGTATGTCATGGATGTTGATGGGCTGCGCGCTGTCACTGGCACAAGAACTGGGTCTCTTCGAAGACAACGCTAGGATCGACAAGGACCAAGTGTCTTACCCAAAGTTCACCACTGAGTACCTCATCTTACGAAGAATTAGAGCTCGGAAGCTACTATATGTTCTGCTCGAACAGCTTTCATGGAGGCTCGGTTGCACATCGATGATCCCTCAAAGCCTTAATCATGCTCTGATGGAGAAGATACCAGTCGACTCTGCAACCGGTGCGGTCGAGCAATGGCAGTCCTTCATGAGCGCATGGGTCGAACTCACCAAGCTCGCGCGCTCAATCTCAGACACCATCTACCCAAACACCGCCACAACACGCAGCTTACTACGCACTGGCCGATACATCGGGCTGCTCGAACACTTCCAGCCACTGCTCGTATCATGGCGGAAGAAGTACCTCGATCCCTGCAAGCTCAAAGTCGGGCTTCACGATATGCTCCACATCGAATACCAATACGTCCGCATCTACACCAACTCGCTCGGTATGCAAGCTGTCGTCGAACGTACACTCGCAGAAACCGATCCCGATGTGCCGCAGGAAGATAACCTTCCCTTCAACCTCGAGCCGCGAGACTACGACTTCATTCAAGAAGTCGTCGACGGAAGCTGCCAGATCCTGCAAAAGGTCTGTCAGCTTTCTGAAACAGGGGCGCTGCGGTACTCGCCTGTCAGGATCTTCTTGCGGATAACGACTAGCTCAATTTACCTGATCAAAGGGTTGAGTTTGGGGAGTCGGAATGCGAAGTTGCAGAGCTGTTTGGATATTCTGGATGCGGCGATCAGGGCTCTTCGTGCTAGTAAGTCCACCTTTCCCAAGAACTCACATGTCGCTCTGCGGTCACTTACACGGCATCTTAGGTACCCTCGACGACATGCACCTCGCATCCCGCTACGCCACCCTCCTCGACCTGCACGTCGCCCGCCTCCGCGAATCCTTCGTCGTGTCCTCCCGTCCACCCCGTCTGCCCTCGCGCGCAACGTCCACACCTCATAACACCTCTCATGATACTTCGCACGCCGCATCCGCATCTGCAACAGAGGGTATGGCGTTCTTGAATAACCACAACGCGGGCCAGTCTAGTTTGTCCAGCTTAGCGGAGAACGTAACGGGGCTCATGCCTGATATGCCGGATGATGATTGGTTGGCGCTGCCTTTTGATCCGGCGATGGCGCCGTTTGGGCTGGATGGGGGGTTGCAGGGGGGGTTTCAGGGGTTTGATGATGGGACGTTGGATTTTATTTGGAACTTGCCTATGTAGGGGTGGTGGGTGAGGTGGATGGGGTGGGGGTGTGGAGAAGTACACAAGTGCAGAGAGTCTGCCTGGAGATTCTTCTCGGTCTCACCAGAAGAGATTGTGTTGGCAAGATTCAGAAAGAGAATAAGCAACACATCATTTGTATTAGTACTTTCTCGTGCCATCCATTCCAAAAGCAATCAAACCTCGAAGAGGACCAGCAAACTTGACACCACCGTAGCCGATATACCATACCATCACTACACCTTCAAAGCCAACACTTCGCCTTCCCAACCGTCAAGCCTCTATGTTATCATACTCATCGCCCGATTTCGTCCTCCTAGCGCTGTCCTGCTCAGGTCTCGTTCTACTCCCTATCCGTAAACCCTTCAAGATCATATGGCTTATGACATTCATGTCCATCTACCACATGCGCGTCGACAATCATGATAGCTGCGTGAGCAACGCGCTTCAAGCATGCGATTACATCATTCCTCATTGCGCTGCGAGGACCGAAACTTGCGAGGAGTTTCATGGATGGGATAGGCTGGTGGATGAGGAAGGGTATGTGGCGGATTGTGGGAGCGAGTGTTAGTGACCTCGATATACGACTTTTCCCTGAGTTATCCATTAATCCTTCTCAATCTTATTGTCCAGCCCATCTCACACCAACTTCACTGCAACATGTATCATCCCAAACCACTTGCGTTTCCCAAAGACTTCTTTCCGATGTTGTCTTCGCTACTTCCGCCCCCAAAACTGACATCGCCGATACCATCGTCATTGTCGAAAAAGTGGAGCTGCTTCTCGTCCTCCTCATCCACTTCCGAATCGTTCTTCAGTAGATTGATATCGAACCATTCCGTTCCTCCCTCGTCACGCTGTCCGACATCCTCAACCATGGTCTTCCGGCCCGCGTATTCCTCGGCTCCTTTCCTTCCGCCAAACATCGCGGTATATATCGATAGCACTATCCAAGCTGCCGCGCATGCCACGCATAGTACCATATAACTTTTGAGCTCTGCGGGTGCATAGGATTCTGGCTTTTCGCTGACGTAGGTAGTCTTGTCGAGTTCCAGCATGTAGATTCCACCTACTACAAAGTAGACGAGGAAGAGCGGCGCCATGCAAATGACAAATATGGATATGGTCGTCTTCAGGGACATGATAGATAGATATGAGAGAATGATATGCTGAGCCGTAGGGTAGCGACCAGGGAATGTTTGAAGATTGAGTATGCAGATAGAGCCTTATCGGTGAGCGATGATGTGCCGCTTAAGATTCGCGAAACCGTGCCGCATCGCATACACAGATAAGATCGATGTTTGCTTGCAGAAACATGTCCCGGGCGCTTGCCGATAGCGTAGCGCCTCAGCTCCGAAGAGGCTAGCTTCTGTGTAAGAGCGAATAAGAAGATATGTGGATCATGTCTCTAGCAGCAAACCACAACATGTGGCGTAGCGAGCGACGCCCAGTGGTCTGTTGTAGTTATTCCTATCAACCCGACGCATTCATGCCCATCTCCTCTCTCAGCGCATCCCTCACAATAACTCCACACATCTTCTTATACGGATTCGTCCTAACACTCATCTCCCTCGCCACTTCATCGCCATACCTTGCCGCAGCCGCAAAATCTTTACTCGCTTGCTCCTCCAACTCCGATTTCGTCATACCATGTAACCGCACTTCAGATTCCACGGCTTTGAGATAAAGATACGCGCGATGCGAATATGCTGTTCGTAAGATCTTCGCAGCATGTAGCGATACGGCCGGTGTTGATGTGGAAGCTGTGGAGGAAAGCTTGATCGCCTGCGCGAGATCGGCGAACACAGCCTCAGTGTTTGACCCCGATGTCTCATTCGCAGTCCCAAAAATAGTCTTTCCCTCTTCCAAAGCAGCCTCAAGCTTCATCCGCCGTACCATGGCACGGTTCACCCACGCGCCTGCGTACTCTGGCCACTGCTCCACCACCGCATTCAGTTCTTTGATCGCAGAGTCTATGTCGCTGACGCTTGATGTGCTGGATATGCGGCCTATGATTTCGCTTTGTTGGCGCTCAAGTACGGTGAGCTGTGTGTCTGGGATAATGGGATGGGCGGGTAGTGATGGGTCGATTGATGAGGATATGTCTTTTTGTTGGCCGACGGAGGAAGGGAGGGTTTCTGGGTCGAAGAGCGCGTTGAGGATGCGTGCGTCGTTTGCGGATAGGGACGTGTTGGGGAGGGTTACTGCCATTGTTGTGTTGGGTTTGGTCGTGGGATAGATGGCTTTCTTGAAGCAGTGGTTTGGCTACGTAGGAATTGCAATCTTTTTTGAAGGTGGTTGAAGAGGGTTGGCATGTGGACTCAGCGAGAGAACATGCAAGGTCTTTCACGTGAAAGCCATTTTGATCATCCCGATGTTGCATGTCACGTTCTTTCACTCGGCTTAGGCTGCGGAATTCCACGGCAAAGATCTGGTAGGCTGCGGAACGCGGCTCGCGCAAGGCTGTCTGGCTCGGCCTATGCGCGGATGGACGTGAACAGCATCTCGTGATTCTCCATGTCCATGTTGATTTTTTTTTATAGCTATGAACAAGCTCAAGTTTAGAGCTGCTAAAGCGCATCAAGTCAGATAAAAAAGTGATCATATTGTGCTTGATGGTGGTGAAGTCGCATGGTTGTGAATTCATGGAGGGCAGCCTCGCCAGGGAATTGCCGGCTGGCCCGCAAAGCCGCAACACAGAGGCGACCGACCAACACTCTTCCTACACGCAACATCGTACATCACAACCACACAGCCTCGGTATCAGGATATGCGCAACTAGTCGGATACATCATAATCGCGATCTGACGCAGATCGCTCGCCGAGAGCTTGCTACAACCACACGACTGCGACGCGTCGTTCTTACGGCGGATGCAGGCGGATCATTCATTGGCGGAAAGCGGCGGACAACACTTGCTTTCTTCTGGCGGCCAGTGCACGTGAGCTCGGCATAACCAAGTAAATGACGCTACCTGGATTGAATATGGTAATTGCTAGGAAGAATGATCGGATATCGGTTCGAGAAGGGAAGTGGATGCAGAACGGTAGAAGATAAAGAATGGCTGCGCATCGGTGCCTAGTGGGCAGTTCACTACACTTCGCAGCACTGCTTTATTACTTGCTAGCCAGAGATCTGAGTACTTTCAACTATACCCCAGTTATTCAACTGTTCGTTCCTGCTTCCAAATCACTTTCACAATGGCGCCCGCTGCTATCTCCCCACCGGCATCGCCACGACATTCCGCTGCCACCCCTTCCGATGTCTCTTCATACCAAGGCTACCACCATGTGCACTGGTATGTCGGTAACGCCAAACAAGCAGCTTCGTTCTACGTATCACGTATGGGCTTTGAGCGTGTTGCATACCGCGGACTAGAGACTGGATCAAGAACGACCGCATCCCATGTCATCCGGAACGGCAAGGTGACTTTCATCCTCACATCGCCCTTGAGGTGCCTAGAGCAGGGCTCAAGATTCAGCAAAGAGGATGAGCAGCTTCTACGAGAGATCCATGAGCATCAAGAGCGTCATGGTGATGCCGTCAAAGGTACGTGATGACCTTCTACAACGACTGAGAACTCTTGCTGACTTGTCAACCCAGACGTCGCCTTCGAAGTCGACAACGTAGACGCCATATACTCCGCCGCCGTCTCATCAGGCGCCGCCACCATCTCAGCCCCCCACGACATCTCCGACAGCCACGGCACCGTCCGCCTCGCCACCATCCGCACATACGGCGACACAACCCACACGCTCATCCAAAAGAACAACTACGCCGGCATCTTCCTCCCCGGCTACCGCCCCGAATCCACCTCCGCCGACCCCCTCCAAAAGTACCTACCCCAAGTCAAGCTCGAAGCCATCGACCACTGCGTCGGCAACCAAGACTGGGACGAGATGGAAAGCGCATGCGAATACTACGAGAAGGTGCTTGGTTTCCACCGCTTCTGGAGCGTCGACGACAAGGACATTTGCACTGAGTACTCGGCGCTCAAGAGTATTGTTATGAGCTCGCCGAATGATGTGGTCAAGATGCCTATCAATGAGCCTGCCAAGGGCAAGAAGCAGAGCCAGATTGAGGAGTATGTTGACTTCTACGGTGGCCCTGGTGTTCAGCATATCGCGCTACGGACTGATAACATTGTTCGCGACATTACCAATCTGAAAGCGAGGGGCGTGGAGTTTATCAAGGTGCCTGAGACTTACTATGATTCTATGAAGATGCGGCTAAAGAAGTCGGGGCTCAAGCTTAACGAGGACTTTGAGGTGTTGAAGAGCTTGGATATCTTGATTGACTTTGATGAGGGCGGTTACCTGCTGCAGCTTTTCACAAAGCATTTGATGGATCGGCCAACGGTGTTCATTGAGATTATCCAGAGGAACAACTTCGATGGGTTTGGCGCGGGTAACTTCAAGAGTCTGTTCGAAGCAATCGAGCGAGAGCAGGACGCTCGGGGTAACTTGGTTTGAGCGACGCGTCGTGTCAATGGTGGGGTCGTAGCATTTCCAGGCGTTCATCTCGTTACTAGCGAAGCGGCCGCTAGCCGTTCTTCGGGCTTTCAACACATATCCAGTTCAATACATACAGTAATTCATACATATCGCAAAGTTCCGTCTCCCTTACTAACCCATGCTGACATATATCGCCCATCCCGTCTCACCCTGCAACGCCACCCGCCTCAACGACACGAGACGCGTTTCACCCCCTGCCCCTCATCGTCGTCAACACCACCACGCATCGAAACGCACATCCACACAAATCACACCCAGCCAAGCATATCCGCCGTCGAAAATCCGGCCGAAAGCGCGCTTGCCCAGTGCAGCTCACACCTTGCCGCGACGTCTTGACCCAGCCAAGCCACACCCGCATTACAGGGCGAGCAAACCGCCAACAACGCCATTGCAAATCCCGTGACAAACATACCTTCGGTCTTTGCGGATTCCGGTCGCAAGTGGTTTTTCGCAGCTTCGGCAAGTGCGTTTTTTTGCCTGCATGATTAGTATGCTGAGGCCGTGGAATCCGTGGAGATTGCGTATAAAGCGATAGGTCATCGCACTGTTGTAGGGCACAATGAGAGTAGCGCCGACTTCTGCTTTCTGAAGCCGACAGCGAAGCTCTGCCGGATTCTTGGCTTTCGAAAGGAACCTCTGCTTCGACACTCTTTTCCTCCTCAGAGGCGGACCTCTGCTGATTCGGCTCGTCGCGAGCAAATGCGCATAGCAGTCGTCGCGCCCTTTGTCCCTGGATCCAAATCCTCAGCGAAGTCGGCGGGAGGATGCCAGGCGATTTATTGGGCGTACTTCACACGAAAGTCACCCTTGAGGCTTTAGCGCGAAACTGATCACCATAGATCGCATGCACGCAAGATCTCTAGCTTAGCGCTTTATCAGAGTCATAAATTCGTGATATCTATAGTCTAGTACACATTGGGATCTACCGACAGAGATACATTGAGATGATGATGATAGGCAACGGGTGAACATGACATTATGCACTAAAAAGAAGAGATGACCACGTAAAGAATGAATGGCTGCCCCATTTAAGTAATTCTTGTTTCAGTTTAACATGTGCCGTCATATACGTTATGACGCCTAGTTGTTCCCATACTCGTACAGTTGATCGTTCTGCCAGGCTGTTGTAGCAGATCTTGTCTAGACATGAAGGAAAAGCGTCGCGCGTAGTGCAATGAAGCTTGGCGACGCTGAAAGTCAATGGGTACTTCAGAAGAGTAGCCCATGACGAGCGCGCTTAGGCGAAGGCTCCGACAATGGACATACCAGCTGCGCCCATAAGGACGTAGATGAATGCATAAGTCTTGGTGCTGCCGGTCATTGTGTGCTGAGCCTCTTCAGAGAGGAAGTCCTCGGCCAACAGATCGACGAGCGCAGCGTAGATGAGAAGACCGGACGAGATGGCGTTGAACACTCCGACGATGATCAGACCGAATGCCGAGTTGGGGTCGTAGGATCCACGAGTAATGAGTCCGATAGCCTGGCCAATGGGCGCGGTGGTACCAAAAGCAACAACGAGAGCCCAGGGCTTCCAGCTGTTCTTGGGGTAAGGAACATCCGCGATACGCGTGCCGAGACCGAGACCCTCGAACATCTGATGGAAGACGATGGCGATGAGCAGGATGATGAAACCCTCGGCTGTGATGGAAATGGTCATGCCGACGAAGACGGAGTGGAACAGAATACCACCCTCAATGAGCGTGATTTGCATGGACTGCTTCTTGAGGACAAGAGGGTCGACAGCCGCCTCGACGTCGTCGTCAAAGTACGAGTTGGCCTCTGGTTGATGAGGAGCCTGTTGCTGCTGGTAGGATGGCATAGGAGGCATGGCGCGGTTGATCGTGGCAAGCATCTCGTCGCGCTGGCGCACGTATTGCTCGTAGAAGACGATGAACCATGGGGGCATTTCGGACTTGGCCTCGAGCTCGTCGCTTCCGCTCTTGGGGAAGGGGAAGTTGTCCACGGGGTAAGTTGACTCCTCGACCCAACCTCGCTTCTCGTCGCGCTGAGCAAGCATTGTCTTCTGCGAATCGTAGCTCTCGACTCGTCGGATAGGGTTGTTGAAGGCTGCCTGGATGCCAGTGGTGGAAGGGTGAGCGTGCTGTGCGCCGTTGAATGCCTCCCCTGTTGCGCCACCGTGGCTGTGACCACCAGTCTTCGCGTGAAGCCACATCTCGATCGTGAAGAGAATGAAGAGCGAACCCATCATGATCACACCTGGCAGAGCAGGGTAATCGTCGGTAAATAGATCCGGTAGGCATGGGTCGTTGAGCGATGCAAAGGCGGTCGGCAGTAGATGGACGAAGGCAGTGGCGATTAGGACACCAGTACCAAAGTGCTTGCAGAAGAAGAAGACCTTTGGTGGGATCTTCATCCACTTGACCTTCTTTGCCACTACTGGGAATCCAGCACCGAAGATGGAAGCGAAGAACACAATGACTAAAAAAAGGTTAGTGGTGTACTCTGATCGGCTTGGATGTACTTACAAACTGCAGCAACGTGCAGAGGAAAGTCATAGACGGCAGCATCCGCCTCGCTGCCGCACTGAGGCTTCTCCGTGTCGGACATGGCGAAGATTACAAAGAATGTATGTTTAGTTCAAGGAATGTGTGGAATAATCCCAGACTTGCCAGCAGTCCCGTCGCCGGCGACGATGAACAAGAAGAAAGAGACGAAGAAAGAAAGGAAGTCAACACACTCTCTCAAAGAGTAACAAGAACAGAAAACGCACAGAAGTGATGTTGTGATTATGGGCAGCAGGCTCGGCACTCCAGACTATGTATTGCTTTAAGGGCCAGTAGGATAAGAGACACTAACCGCATCATGCAGATCTGCACGTCTCCAGAACACCTGAAGACGATAGTGGGACCTCGATACAGTGGCCTGTGCCTCAGCTATCGCCTGCAGTGATAGGTGCTCCAAGCAGCAAACGCGGAGGTCCAGACGGTGTCAGGACCAGCCAGCCTTGCGCCGAAGACGAAAGAAGCATTGCCATGAGGTTTCCAGGCAGGAACTGGAATTGCCTGCGCCCAGCCTTCGAAGCTCATTGGAGACGGCTGTCATGCGCGTAGATGCTTGGCAGGCACGCTCGATCTGCGAAGGGGTGGGGATGTGATGCGGCTCAAGTCTCGTTTCCGGCGAGTGGGCCAAGCGAGTGGGACAGCTGACGAAGTGTGGAGGTGCGAAGCATTAGGGGTGAGGCTTGACTGCTGCCATCTGGTGCAGATGGAGTTCGAAGTGGCTCAGCATGCCGATGTCGTTGGCCAATGGGCCGTTTCGCGATTGCGTTGACGTGTGTGGGCCAAGCTCGGCTTAGTTTCGTGCCGTAGTGATATGCTTGGCATGGGCCGACTCGGTGAGTTTTGAAACCTGGAGATGTAAAAGAAAGCGTCGTGGAGATATAGATGGCGTCCACTATGGCCCCACGCTGTAGCCGATGCAATCCTGCCGCGGCGATCACTGCGTTCCAAGGCTGCGCTATCTGTCAGGCGTGTGACGATTTTAGCCGGAGGGAAAGAATAGCCAACCCTGGAGAACTTGCGACGCGTCTTCCGAGTCATCAAACCACCGCACCAACAACAATTCCATCAAGCCCACCTCAAGAATGGAGATGGGTGTGTGGGGACGCGTTCGTCCACAGATGACAAGCTTTTCAACGCGTCTTAGCATCGTAAAAGTTCCGGTCAGTTTAGATCGCCGCTAACATCTCCACGTTGTACACGCGTGCGCGGGCATTTTCACCACGCCTCCGCGCATGCAGACAGCCAAGCCTTATAAGGTATCAAGATAAGGCCAAGCTCATCAAGTCATACCATAACAGGTATCATCGCTAACCCACCACGTACTAGCGAGCCGTTGGAAATGCTTAGCGAGTTTCATGCTCCGTGCCCAGCATTCCTACACCTGCACCAACGCGCAGTATTCACACATTGTGGCACCGAGTAAACGATCTGGCCATTCCACTATGACTTCAGGGTTCAGAGAAAGAAACTCCTGCGGAGGAGGGCGGGAAATACGCCGCGGTGGCGTTCGCAGCGGTGCTTTATTACATTGCATGCCCTGAGCTGAGGCATATATCACCCACTTCGTAACTCGCACACCGTAGCAGATCCTAGAGATCGCCCATACACACACATACGCGTCCCTCAGCCCATTGTCCGGACACCATGACTTCCGATCTTCACAGTATGTCTCAGGCAACCCAAGCCCGTGGTTCTCTTGTCTGACCGTCCGTCTAGCTTCACCTAATGGCCCATCACACGACCAAGCTGCTGGGCAAACAAGCGCTCCAGTAGGCTCTGGCACTACGCCTTCGTCAAACCAGGCCAATGTCGGCGCCGAGCATAGGACAGATGCCATTGAGCGGCTGTCATCTGTAGACAATGCATCGTCGCGGGGAGCCAAGGACGATGTCACCATCACCGTCCACAACGATCCACTCGATCTCCGCAAACACATGCGCGACGATGTGACCCAGAAACAGATGAAGAGTGACTATCCACTCGCCAAGCCCAGGCACATGAAGAAGTTCTACACAAGACAGAATGCCTTGATCGATCAGTTCCTCCAGAGCGGAGATGAAGAGCGCTTGGCTGCTCTTGACATGGTCGAGAATGGACCCAAGGTCCGCTTCGCCGTGAACGCTTCCTTCATCGTCAACTTCTGCCTGTTCATCATTCAGATGTACGCGGCCATCTCCACAGGTTCGTTGTCGCTGTTCGCAACAGCTGCAGACGCCTTCATGGACTTGGTCTCGTCAGTGGTCATGCTCATCACATCTCGCATGGCAGCACGGCCAAGCGTTTACAAGTACCCCGTGGGGCGGACACGTATCGAGACGATCGGCATCATCATGTTCTGCTGTTTGATGACAACGGTAGCCATCCAGCTCATCGTAAGTACTCCTTCCCGTGTGCCCGGCTCAGCTATTGACATGTAACAAGATCGAGTCTGGGCGTTCCTTGGCTGGCGGTGCCACGGAATCTGAAGAACTCCACATCATCCCCATTGCTTTCGTTGCGACAGCCATCTTCTGCAAAGGCTCCCTGTGCGTCTACTGCTTCATCTATCGGCGTTACCCCGCTGTCCACGTCTTCTTCATCGACCACCGCAATGATATTGTCGTCAATGCCTTTGGTCTTGCCATGTCGATCGTCGGAAGCCGCGTCGTCTGGTATGTCGACCCTATTGGTGCCATTCTTATCGGTCTTTTGATCTTGGTTTCCTGGGCTGCCAATGCTTTTGACCACGTCTGGCTGTTGGTCGGCAAGTCCGCACCCAAGGACTACATCAGCAAGTTGATCTACATGGTCGTCACGCATGACGATAGGATCCAGAGAGTCGATACTTGCCGCGCGTACCACGCTGGACAGAACTACTACGTTGAGGTAGATATTGTCATGGATGAGGGTCTGCCGCTGAAGGTTACTCATGACGTGTCGCAGACCCTGCAGAGGAAGCTCGAAGGTATGTCTCATTCATTCATTAGTAATCACGACACGATACTAACACACGACAGGTCTTGCCGACGTTGAGCGAGCCTACGTGCACGTCGACTACGAAAGCGAGCACGACATCTTCGAGGAGCACAAGCCCCTCTATGAAGTCACGCAGTCGAAGACCATCAAGGAGCGCGTCAAAGCGCTGCGCTATCTTTTCAAGAAGAACGAGAAGGGTGCCTGAGCATCGTCATTTGTATACCATGTATTTCTACGGTGCCATTGGCATCAAAAGTTCACGTTTTCCTTTACCTCATTTATACCCCCGCGCAGCAATATACAAAGCCGCTGCTGTTACTGTTACTGTTAATGCGAATGTTATTGTTAATGAGACACATTGTCTCAACCCGCGACCCAGATCTTCTGCATCGCGCCTCTCGTTCTTTGTCGTTCTTCGTCTCAGGCTTTGACACGCAACAATGTTACTGAAACCACTGTTAGACAGCCACCACCTCTATTCCTCGACTTTGTGTCTCTTCTCAATATTGATCTTACCAGCAAAACCTCCACCTTCTTCTAGAAATCTCACGCCCACATCCCCCGCTTCCTACTTCACATATCCATCTCCGCATCTTGATATCCTAGCAACCCACGATATGTCTCAACCTGCACTTTCTCCCAGTCTAACACTTCTAGACTCCGAACCCACTCATGAACAACCAGAATCACCTGCAACAGCCCCATCCAATCACCCCGATGAGACTGAAATTACTCATAAGGGATCATCATCAGTAACACCCGCATCAGACCACTTCCATGACTCCGATGACGCCGAAGATACGGCAAGTACCCACGAAGAACCATCATCGCCAGTAACAGCCCCATCCGACCAGTCCGATGACGCCGTTACCCCCGCTGACTCCGCTGACACAAAAGTCTCTCCCACCAAAGACGAAGGAAAAGGACGTAGGCCTCTAAGCAAAGTACAAGAACTAGCAGCTTGGTACGATTCACAGACGAACGGAAACTTAAGACTACAAGTTTTAACATGGGACGGAAGGGCGGTAGATGCGCCTAAAAACAAGGCTAAAAAGTCTAAGAAGACGTCGCAAGCGGCAGTGGAAGCGGAGCAGGATTTGATGTAGCGAGGCGCGATGAGAATTGTTGGTGGAGTAGAGAATGCGAGGTGGCGGGCGGGTCAAATAGATGGCTGCTCGTTTGAGGAACGATGGGCGTTGGGTTAGGTTATATAGCGACAAACCATTATTTTGTCGGCTTGATGTCGTGGCAGTACTTGAAGCCTCTTTTTGCATAAACCCCTCTCTATTTTAACTTCCTTCACTTTTTCCTATCTTACTGCCAAGTCCTCTTTATCTATCGACCATGTTCCCCTACCTCATCGACGAAGCACTCATCCTAGTCCTACTCCTGTCCATCAGCGCATTTATCTCCGACAGTGACATCCCCAAGAAAGCAAGAGTAGTTATCATCTCCGGTTTCATTTTGACCATCGTTCCTCTGTTCCTTTGGCAAACGCAGTATCACAATGTCGTGCTGTATAACTATATTCAGGCTCGTCGTGAGGAGGCTGCCAGTCAGAGGTATACGGCTGAGCGGTGTGGGTTCAAGTTGGGGGATGGTATGAAGGTCGTTAGGGCTTGTGCTGGGGAGTTGCGCGGGAAGATTGAGGGAGGGGAGTAGAGAGATGGGCTGGATTTGTTTGTATTCCCTGAAGCAGGTTCACTTCCGTTATGATGTTTTTGAAGTACATGATTTCTCCAAGCTAAGCCGGAGGCTCATATGCTGAGCAGGTGGACCAAAGGCAGAAATGTGCGCATTCGACCCTAGACTCGTCGTCTCCTTAATGCCTTGCGCTTTTGGTCTGCTGAACATCGAGTTGTGCTCGTGCCGCGCCAAGCGAACAACCCTCACAATTAAGTCGTTTCACCGGCCTTCTTGTGCCCAACCCAATGAGAAATGAGGATAGTTTCACCGTACTCACTCGTTTCCCCAAGAACTTCCGGGCACCACGCTTCTTTTGCGAGGATACCCCACGCGCCTGTGGACCAGAGCGAGTCATTTAGAGCCCCAGTGCGACTGTCGTGAAGGCGGACATCTTCCTTGCCGAAATTGATGTAGACCTTGACAGCGCCATCACCCAAGGGCAGCCATGCACCTCCATCGCAACGAGCGGCTTCGGAGCGGGCTTCGCGGTTGACGAAGAAGTGTGTAGGGTAGCCTCGGCTTGTATTGACGTAGAAACCATCTTGGCTCCTGAACAGGGTGACATTGTTCTCTACCAAGCCGGGCGTCCAGTAGAGATCTTGACGGAAAAGACGGTCCTTATACTGATCTTGAAGTGCGATAGCCCAAATCTTGACGCGGATCTCGGCAGGTAGGCGGGGGAATGGATGGAAAGTCGGTTTCAGGTGAAGTTCTTTGGCTTCGGTCGATAGTTTTGCGTCGATAAGGATGGGGTTGAACCGCTGCCTCCAACGATCTAGAGAACCCATTGTGAGGTGGAGTTTGATATAGATGCTCGTGACTGGTTTTCGAATGCGATCGTAGCGACTGACAAGAGTTGATGGGAATGCAAGTGGAGACAGTCGGGCCAGTCCGCCTAGGAGATGGATTTGGTCGCTCTCTTGAAGAGACCGATGGTGTAGACAGGAAGCTCGCAAAGAGTGAGAGAGCGCAGAAATCTCTGTGTAGCGAGACCGCCCATCCCCAAAGGTGAAGGCAGGCCCGTTTGCTGGTTCACGTGACGCCAAGCCCAGCGTCGTCATGACGTGATGAGGCACAGTCTCGCGACTTCCTCACACCCACCTCGCTGCGCAACTCCTGAGCAGTTACCTAGACTAGTTGTCCATCAGCCTCATCATGCCAATTCTTTGACGCTGGGCATAACGCGCACATCTTTTCGGGAAGATGACCGGTCAGCTCGCCAGAGTGACTCCAATGATCAGCACAAGGGTCCGGGCAGTCGCAGCTGTGGCCACAGTCGTCAGCGCGCCGCCGTCTTTGTGACTCCAGATTTAGTCGGTGGTCTTTCCGACAAGGCAGACGTGCTGAATGAGTTAGCAAGACCAAGTATGGATACCTACAAAACCTACGAGTCTGATAACTCCATCACTCTGCGGAGAGACGACGAGCGATGTCCTTTCAACAACCTCAGCCCTAGTGGCCTGAGCATAGCATGATAGCTACCTCGACGATCATAGCAGGCCAGTCTTTCGTGATTTCTGATAATAACGATCCAGATGACAGCCACAAAAGACTACACAGGCGGACTCGGATACTGAGCAGCCGGGTTATCCGGCGAAGACCTACGACCCGTATTCGACGGCGCCTGGCTTGTCGCCGCCAGCGCAAAGTACGGATTATCCGGCATAGACATGCGCTTCGGCATAATACTCGCCAAACTCGGCAACGTAATCTGAACCCTCGTCTCCGGCTTCGGATTAAGCTGAATGAGTAAATCCGCCTCTTTAATCTCCCTCAACACATCCTCAACATCACGCCCCCTCCTGACCCGCCTCAACAGCTCATAGGACTCGCTATCGGAGCTCGTCCGGATCAACTTGAACAACTCCACGTAGGCTTCGTTCTCGGCTTCCAAGGCATCGTATTTGCGTTTCAGTGCTTGGCCCTGGGTTTCGGATGACCGGGTAGCGTAGTGGCAGGATGTTGTCCGCTTGACGCATTCGATACACACGGGTCGCTCGCCGTTGCATTTGATCTTCCTCGCGCGGCATTGATCGCAAGCGGATGCGACGCGGTCACGGGGTAAAGGCGGGAGAGGTTCGTTGCGCGGGCGAACAGCAGACGGGAGGAGTGGTCTGAGTGGACGCATGGTTTTCGAAAGGGGGGAAAAGCAGGAAGAGGTCCGCGGAGAGAACCCTCAAAGACGAAGGCTGGGAATGATAAAATGCGATCATGGTGGGCCCCAGAAACCTGGTCATCCATCTTTTAAGTTAATGATGGAATTTCTCGAATATCGATGCTGCCGGAAAGACCAGGCCTGAATGGATCTCGATGGTAATTGGAACGCGGCAACTTAGCCCGCCAATCGGAAGTCGAAGTCGCGATTGGGTACGTAGCCGAACTTCGTCTTTTGCGCAGCAGCTTTTCTACGTGAGGGAATGCGAATCCGGCGACTGCTATTACGTGCCGTCATCTTGGTGTTCGCACGGCTCGTTTAATGTGCGTCTTGGTACCATCCTAGTTTCAAGATGTTAACGCATTCATCGCGGGCACTTCAGCCATGACAAAGCATCATCCCGCTCTTTGAAAAACCTACTCCCATCTGATTGGCGACGGTACAGAAACTCCGTGGATATTTCTCATTCGTCAATACAATATGCTAGAAAGAGATTCAATGGTGTACTGTAGCAGATGCAATGGTCGTTCCACATTCGTCCTACTAACGGTGCACCTGCAGCTGTGCAAGCAGGGCTTTACTCCGGTTAGCCGCATCGAGATTTCTGCGGCTGCATCTGCATAGACAGCGGGCAGATTATCTGTCTCCACCGCAATAGTCTTGGTCTCGTATCGTGCCAGCAGCCTCGAAAAGCTACGGCCACGGTTCTGCATCATACGGATGGTTCAAGGTGGAATTACCTCCTTGGGGTAATCCAGACGTCAACGCAGACACAGATGGGGTATGCCTTAGCGCATGCTAGTGTGTGTCGGACCTGTACTTCGAAAGGTGAGGGCTGCATGCTACCGATGAGGAAATGGGTCGCACCGGAGTGTCGTCCGCAGCTCGATTGGTTGTTGTCAGCAAGCGTACGGCGGATGGAGCGTGCGACACGTAGTGGCATCGTCGGAGACAGAGGCACGCGCTCCAGATGAGGTTGGTAAGCTGGGAGTGCGCTTCATTGGCTGGGAAGTCCTCCCGCAGACCCTGATCTACGAGCGATTGAACACCGTCATTGGGGTTTATGCTGCTGTGATTTCATATCTCACGACGTTTTGACGATGACGAGTCCGGAAGATGAGTCGACAGTGCCTCGTGGTCTCTATGTTGGAAACGGCTCGAACCGATACAGCGGATTAAGTAATCGGTATAGTTTCTCATTCCGCCGCAAGCAACTTGTGGCTTGGACTTTTATGGAGCGAACGCTACGTTATTCGGCCCGCACATGCTCATCGGTGAAGAAGGCCGTTCCAGTCGAGTCGTTTACCGTACCCTCTGGTTGAGAGACATTGCCCAGGTGCATATGAAGATGAGTCAAGCAGATG